TGTTCCCAACAAGGAACTTGGAGGGTACGCACTCTTAATGGGAGGGGGTGAGTGAGGGCACACAACAAATTCTACAGTGACCCTCAGGCGTCACACATTCGCCAAGATGGTGGCAGTCACAGCTGACATTTGGAGTACGGGGTGGATGGTGCCAAAGCCAACATATTCAAAACCAGCTGCCGTGAGATGTATTAGGACAGTTATAGTTGTTATTTTTTGATAACAAAGGAGCAATGTGTTTCCAGCCGGCCCCAGATGTGTGGTAAGATAAGCTTTCTAGAAACTACAGTTGGTTCTCATGTTGACTCTTAATAATGCTGTTCTTATCAAAGCACATCGGAGTGGTAGGTGTTCAGAGTAATACGACCCGCTTTAAAGACTGCACAAGCAAATTAAAATTAATGGGAAATTTTTTTTCCCGGGAATACAATTTCTTGAAAATTAGAAAGATTGTTCTTTACTGAATAAGTGAGCACCAGGGGGAATGTTTGGCATTCGCTGTGCCTGGTTGTTTTACTCTTTCAACAGTCCTGTCAGAGGTTGGTCTTCAAGAAGTCCTGTTCTTTTCAGATGTCACGAAAAGATATTCTTGCCAAAGCCCTTCCCGGCCGAGATGGAATTGATATAAGAGCTGTAGCTCAGACAGCCTTCATGCCCATAGCCTTCATGCCCATGGAAGTTTGGCACTAACTTCAGCTCAGCCTCCAGATAGCTGCGTTTCCCTCTGTGTGTTGGTGGGGGTTGGGGGGGCGGGGGAGACAGCTCAGTTTCTTTCTCTGCAAAGTGCAAAGATTAAGCTGATGATCTTGTGGGGATGGTGTGCGTGTTCATTCATTCATTGCACAAAGGTTTGTTGAGCACCTACAGAGTGCCAGGCACAGCTGTGTCACTGGGGATTCAGTAATGAGCAAAACCAGACAGAGGCCCTTGCTCCCCGGTGCTTGGATCCTAATGGGAGAGAGACAGCTCTTAATCAAACATCCGCACAAGTAAACGTGTCATCACAACATTGGTTGGTGCTGGGAAGGACGGTCGAGCACACGGGGCAGGAAGGGGTCATAACAGGGAGATTTATTTCACCGGGAGGGAGATCCGAAAGGGCCTCCTGGGGGTGGCAGGTGAGGGGCTGGAGAACATGGGCTGCGATGGCAAGGGGTGGGCCTTGAAGGCCTAGGAGGCACCGAGTTCGAAGCCAGCACAGCCCCTTGGCCGGTCACCTTATCTCTCTGCATCTCCATTTCCTCGTCTCTAAAAATGGAACTAACATCAGGAACCTTTCATGGTGTCGTCAGGTTTCAGAAGGGTGACATGTTTGAAAGTACCCAGCACCTGGCAAATTACATTTCATTTCTAAGAATAGCTTTGGAAACAGAGATGTTCTGTTTTATACTTGGGTTTCTCGCTGTGAGGAAGGAGTGACGCAGCTTTGAGACCCTCGTTTTTAGCAAGTCTGAGTTCACAGTCGGCCCTGGAAGGGGCCTGGCTTCCCTCAGTCACGGAGCCGTGTTTGAGTCACTTGACTTGGAGACCCCAGGGATGGCCTTGCTGCATGATCACGTGACAGAGGTCTGCGCGTTGGGGGCTGGCAGGAGGTTAGGCGTCGCTGGCCTGATCCCTTGCCATGTACATACAAGCAAAGGTGGCTGACCGTGAACAGTAAAACTGGAATAAGGAGGCAGCCCCCTGCCCCACGGTCCGTGCTTTTTTGCAGTGTCTCTGTTTCAGATTCCATTTGGAAACTGCGGATGCTCTCTGAGGCCACTGAGCTACTTGTGAGTGGCCTATGCAATTCCTTCTCGAGATAAAGCAAGGTTAGCACTCTCTCTGTCATAACTCCTCAAGGCCTGAAGATTACTCCTTTAATCTTACAAAAGCAAACGCAAGGACAGAAATAACCCATCAATTGTTTAAAGTTAAAGTGGCCAACAATAATAAATAATTGCCACATAGCTGGAGGTCGGGGTCGTAATTTATTGGAGGCCATTCAGGAATTTGAAACTTTCCTCTGAGTTAATTTTTCACATCTTGTTTGGATCCACAGAGCTCTTGCTTCCAAAAAACGAGACCATCAGATCTCTCCTTGCACATGTTATTCTTGTTGACGTGCCAGGCACACAGGAAAGTGAGGTCCCCTCTTCTTGGATGAGTAATGAGGATTCCTCCCCCCCAACATCTGTATTTCAAAGTATTTTAACCTACTGAGATTTTGGATAGTTCTCTTGTCTTTCATGTTCTACTAGCTATCTCAGTGGCTGCAAACAACAACAAACATGTGCTGGCTAATTTAAACAGAAAAGGAGCCCTGGCCAGTGTGGCTCAGTTGATTGAGCGTCATCCCATGCACCAAAAGGTCACCGGTTCGATTTCCGGTCAGGGTGCATGCCTGGGTTGCCGGCTTGATCCCCAATAGGAGGCATGCAAGAGGCAGCCGATCGATGTTTCACATCAGTGTTTCTCTCTCTCTCCCTCTTTCTCTAAAATCAATAAAAACATATTTTAAAAAGAAAACAGAAAAGGAATGTATTGGAAGGGTAAGAGGCTGGTTCAGAGCTTAGCCAGGGAAGCTGGAGAACCATCATTACCGGAGACAAAGGAGGCAGCCTTAGCTCAGGATGCCACTTCAGGGTTCTCAATCCTCTGTGGTCACCTCAGATGTTTCAGAGGGCTCTGGTGCCTTGGGAAACTCAAAATTCATGAGTTAGGAGCTTCTGCTCACCACACTGAGGCCACTTGACCATCCTGAGATCACATGACTGCACTTCAGTGCTTACACTTTAGCAACTAACCCTAACTCTTTCTTCTGATGGGCCCCTCCCATTTATCTTGAGACACCACAGGAAGGTGTCAGGATGTGGAGTAGCCAAAAATATCAACTGTCCATTACACAAACCCTCATATGCTTAACCACATCTTCCATTAACTGGTTAGCCAATCAAAGATTGGCCATCCATGTGAATTTATCTTGTCCAAAGCTCACATCACATAATAATCATCAGTCTCATGTACAACAACATTGTCATCCTCCTCCTCACTGTCATTCTCATCCCCATCATGCTCATCCCCAGCATCATCCCATTGGTAGCCCGCTCACTCCCACTCTCCTGGGCTGCCATTTCCCTCCTTCCCGCCCCTCAAATGTTCCCTCCTCATCCTCCTCCTTCTTCCCAGTCTTTGACTCAGCTTTATTTCACTGCAAAATGGAAGGAATCGTAAGGGAATCTTGTCTTGTTTCTAACAGCCATCTATGAATGCATCTGTGCCATATGGGCCTCTTTCTCACTTCATACCAGCTGAGGCCAGTCCCCGCCCCCATTTGTTCAAAACCATCCAGCAATTGTCCCCTGTCATGTCATCATTAATTGTTCTCTCTCTAATAGATCCTTCCCATTAACATGTCAATATACTATGATAATTTCCATCTTAATCTCCCCTTTGTAGAAAAAGTCTTCCAAGTAGTTGACCGTACTCATTGTTTCCGTTTATTCTCTTCCTACAGCTCTTAAACCAATTCCAATCAAGCTTTCATCCCAGTCACTCCACTTAAGTCATTCTTAACAAGATCACCAATGACCTCTGAATGGCGAATTCCATTGGCCAGTTCTAATTCATGTTATTTTTACCTCTCTGCCACGTTTGACAAAATCGATTACTCCTCCCTGAAACACATCTTCTGTGGCCAGTTTGATACCCTCTCACTTGGTTTCTCTCCTATCTTCCTCGCCACTCTTTTTCAATCTCCTTTGCTGCCTCCTCCTCATCTCCAACTCCTACATATGATACCTCTTCTCTATCTACACAGGTTCCCTGGTGATCATAGCTAATCCATCCCAAGTATATACCTCCAGCCAGACTGTTCCTTCAACTCCAAACTTGGGCATCCAACTATCTCAACATCTCTTCTTAAAAATCAAAGTAGTATTTAGATTTTCCCTACTAAACGTCTATACCCATAGCCTTTCTCATCTCAATAAATGACAACTCTTCCCTTCTAGTTGTTGAATCTAAAATCTTTGCAGCCATCCTTGACTCTCCTGTTAAGGATCCCTAACACCCCTCATCCATGCATGAGCAAAACCTGTTGGTATATCCTTTGAAACATATCTAGAATATGACTTCTCACTACCTCAGCTTCTACCATCATGGTCTGGTGTGTTATCTTCTCACACCTGGATTATTGCAAGTGCTCCCTAACCAGGCTTCCTTATTTCCTCTGACCACTCCCTCCACAGACTGTTCTCATCATGGGCAGTGCGAGCCTTTAAACATGGAGGTCATCACACTCAGAGCTCTGCACGGGCTCCATCTCAGTCAAACCAAGATCCTCTGATGGCCCAGCGATGCCCTCCATGATCTGCTTGCCCCTAATGCCTTTGCCTCTCTAAGCCCATTTCCTCCCACTCTCCCCCTCGGTCACCCCTCTTTGCCACACTGGCCTCCTTGCCAGCCTTTGAACATTCGAGGCACAACTTTCCCTTGGCTAGTTCCCAGGGATCTTTGTATCTTGCTCCCTTTCTTCCTTTAGATTTGTACTGAGAGCTCACCTCATCAGTGCGGCTTCTGTGTGTTTGCTTCTTTGTGTCTGTGTTTTCTGTCTCTCTGAAGCCACAAGGAGGCAAGAACACTTGTAGAATAGTAATGATGGGCAGGTAGGAGGTGCTCCAAAAATATTTTAATGAATTAATGTCTGATTGGATTCCATGCCTACGCTATTAAATGTCTTATAATTTTCCAAGTTGGATGTACAAGACTTCATGTGAGCCCCGGAACAGCCTAGTGAGATAGGCAGGACAGAACATTCATGGGCTTAGAAGAAGAAACCAAGGCTTATGGGATCTGATCGCCCAAGGATGCATGGCTGCTGCATGGGATGCCTGGGACTTGTAGTTGTGATGCTAGTGGCGTTCCTGCCCCCCTCCCGCAGCCACCCCACAATGGGTCATGTTTTATTATTGAAAGCTGAAAGCTTCAGGGTTTTAATGGCTCTTCATTTTTCATTGCAGCATTGATGAGAAAACGCCCTATCTGGCTTTGGGGGCTGTGAAGAATATCTCCATAAACATCTCCATCTCCAACCTCGGCGACGATGCCTATGATGCCAACGTGTCCTTCAATGTTTCCCGGGAGCTCTTCTTCATCAACATGTGGCAGAAGGTAAGGGGGGCACCCTAAAGAGAGCCTTTGGTCCATCTGATGCATCTGCTGACTTGCATCATAGCTCAGAAGGTGCAGGGATTGTGCAAAGACTATTTTGCTACGTGGAGTATCCTTTGGGACTGTTAGGATATTTTTCCGTCTGGACTTAGAAAGTATGTTGGTACCGCCAGAGAAGAAACTATATAGATACCTACAGAGGGACGGGGCAGAACCGATGCCCTCCATTGGTTCTACCCGTTCTCTCCTGTGGAACCCTGTCCATATGGTTTTATGTCTGGCTTCTTCTCCGCGATGACATGGTCACTGTCTCCCGCACGCACATGTTCCAGAGAGTCCGTGTTAGGCCAGTAGTTGTGAAAAACAAGATAAGAGATGAGGACGGATAGCAGCCTCGCATGCTTGTTATCTGCCCTTGATGTTTTCATTAGAGGGTCATGTTCATCAGCCTACACTTTGGCGCATTTATTTATTCCTGGCATATCTGAGTGAATTGAGGAAATTAAATTATTTCCATGAATTGAGTGAGCTTTTAAGAGTGGATTCATTTATTTGAATGGATTGGAGTTTAAGTAGCATGACTCAGAAAGGGAGGAGCTGGGATTCTCGCCTGTTTTATCCTCCAATGTTTCCTTCAATGGATCATCTTTGGGGAGGAAAGAACAGGCCTTCTCAGCGGGCCACCGGAGAATGGGTGGATTTAAACAGACCTCGCCCCACCCCGTGGCTGCTCTAACTGTTGACAGTGTTCCAATGGGAATTTTTGCAGCTTTTCATAGTGTTTACAGCCTTGAACTGCAGTGCCTTGATCTCGGTGTTAAAATGGAACCAAAATCACTTTCTAAGGAAAACCTTCGCCCTGCCCACAGATGAGAGCTGGATGCCCCTTCAAACCTTATTTCTGCTCAGGCACATGTCCTGCCAGGCTCAGGAGTTCTGCCAGGGTTGTGCCAGTCTTGCCCAGCATAGGGGGCAACGGAAGCATTTAGAGCCATCTAGAATGGCAGCACCCCACGAACTTCCCCAGGGACCATCCCAAACTCTCTGCTGCTTAATCGGCTCAGGAGCTCCGGGGTTGGGGGAGGCTGCGGGAAGGGTATGCTTTCCATTCACCTTCCGGACCCTAAGAATTGTCCCTGGTTTAGGCTCTGCCCCATCACGAGAGAACCAAGTACCTAGAGGGTTTCAGGACCTCTGGTTACACACAGAATACCGAAAGCAGTATTTTTACAGTAAATACATAATTTGAAAGATTAAGAATAAGCTTCTAATATCCGTTATGCCATAAAAAATGAGAGAAGAAACTTAATCTCGTCACTCCTCCTGCTTCACATTCTTCAGAATGAAGTCCAGAGTCCTCAGCTGTTCACGGGGGGCCATGCTGAGCCTGGGCCTTCCTGCCCTCCGCCCCCACAGCCTCATTGTTCACCATCCCCCCCACACACACTGGAATACACACATGTTCCAGAGAGTCCGTGTTAGGCCAGTAGTTGTAAAAAACAAGATAAGAGATGAGGACGGATAGCAACCTCGCATGCTTGTTATCTGCCCTTGATGTTTTCATTAGAGGGTCGTGTTCATCAGCCTACACTTTGGTGCATTTATTTATTCCAGGCAGAATGTAGTACAGAAGTTGCCCTCGCCCTGGGCTCTGCTCCAAACCTCAGCTCAGGTGTGACTGAGGCCAGTGCCTCCATGGACGGCACCGGTGATGTGGGTGGACGGCTGGGTGCACGGATATCCCTCTTGTCCAAAGTCCCAAAGCAACTGGGAGCCCAGGCCTCCGAGGTGTCCAGTCTTCTCTGTCATCACAATTAGTGGCATCCGAGTTTCTGAGCCTGAACCAAAGGTATCCCCTGGGATGGATTTTTCTAGCCGAACACGGGCTGCTTTCATACATGCGTGCTGTTTCTTTCCTGTAGCGGAGGCTGCTGCTAGAAGCCTGGTGCGCACATGGGTGAGCGTCCGCTGACTTGCCTCTGGCCTGTGTCACGCTAACTTGAAAACACTCCATAAAATAGGACTTAATTTGTCGGTGGCTACCTGGCCGGTTGATTGGCCGCCTGGCGTGTGCTGTCTGGCTGGAGCTCAGCACATAATGGTCACTTAATGGTCTCCTGCGGAGCAATGAAAGGGGGCTCCGAGGGGCGGGGCAGGGGCGTACAGCTAAAAGGGAGAAGAGGGAAGAAGAAAGAAAACAGTTTGGAGCCCCTGCATCCCACAACTCCAGGGTCACATCCACGCTGGGTTCTATGTGAGGGACCCCCCAGACCACAGCCCACAGAAGATAATGGGTGGCCCTGGAACTGTACAGACAGGTGCCCTGGCATCGAGATGAGGTCAAGTTTAATTTCTGGCTGTGGTGCCTGTTGGCACAAACAGCTTTGGCTCCTGTTGCCTCTGTGGAACGGAACGGGTTGATTTGGACAGCAGTTATTAAGTACCTGCTAAGGGCCAGGCAGCCCCCGCTGTTAGGAGACACATGGATGGGTAAGATCTGGTTCGCGCTCCCAGGAGGCTCACAGCCTGGTGAGTGGAAGGCATGTCGGCAAGCAATAGGAGCACAGGGTGCCAGCTGCTCTGCAGAGGTGCTGAGAAGTTGCTTTGAAGCATAGACGTGACAAGGTGAAGCAAGTGGTCACTGCTTGGGATGGACAAAATCCTGCGATAAAGGCTTACGGTGGATGGATGGGCCTCTGAAAAGTTGGTGTCAACATTCAGAGCTAAGGTGGGTGGGTGGGGTGGTCCATCGATCTGGGTGGTGAAGGAGTGAGCTGGGCTGGTACAGGGGTGAGAGGGCAGAGGAGAACAAAGGAGGAGAGGCAAGAGAAATCCAGCAGGGTGGAAGGAGGCTGCCCATGTGGGACAGAGGGCCAGTAACGTTCCCTGTGGGGGTGGCCTCAGGACGTTATAGGAATGCTGATGCCTGCTGCTCTGGGCTGAGGTTGCTTATCAGGTAGGAATCCTGCTCTCTTGAATGCCTCAGGAGACCAAGGGAGAGAAAACTCAAAGAAGGGGCTGGATTCATGAGTACATCTCCATGGTATTGACTGTTATGATGCACATGGAAATGGACATGGACATGGACAGTGTAAGCTTCAGGTCAGGTGTAAGAGAGCTCTCAGATGACCTTTGGGTACAAAGGAGACGTAGTAGCTTGCCCTGGGGTTACAGAGGAGGCTGTGCTGGGGAGAAGGGAGAGCGGCGATAGACTTTCTGAATGAGGCATCTCTCTGCAGTGTCAGTGCTCTCTTGGTTTGGGTCTCCCATATGCTGACCTTGAAGCAAAGAAGTGAGGGCCATTAGCTTATTTGGGAGGTGCAGCAAACGCTGGTAGGGAGGCAGAGAAGTGATACAGGCAGGAGGAGGCAGCTAATGAACAGGGTGCTGTTGCCTGACCGGCGTGGCTCAGTGGTTGAGCGTCAACCTGTGAACCAGGAGGTCACGGTTCAATTCCCAGTCAGGGCACATGCCTGGGTTGTAGATCCCAAGTGTGGGGCGTGCAGGAAGCAGCTAATCAATGATTCTCTTTCATCATTGATGTTTCTGTTTCTCTCTCCCTCTCCCTTTCTCTCTGAAATCAATAAAAATAAAAAAAGAAAAAGAATAGTTAAAAAAATGAAGGTGCTATTAAACCAGCAACTGCAGTGCGCAATGGGGCCTAATCCCAAAGGGCACACCTGGGAAACAGAGCAAAATACCAACCTCAGGGGTGAGGGGGCTGGGGTATTGACACCCCCTCCCAAAGAGTCAGTGCTCAAGGCCTTCCGGGGGGGGGTGCACTCCCCAGTGCTCCTGACCTCTAATGTGCAGCCTACACAGTTTTGGAAAATGCCCTCTGGGCTGGAAGCCGGGCAAGGTGCAAGGCATCTGAGCAGGCTCTCCAGCATCCGCTGGAAATGCCCACCGCGGCTCTCCAGCATCTGATGGAAATGCCCACCGCGCTCATAGCACCTCCAACGTGAGCACCTCACTTTCTGGGCTTCCAGAAGTTGTAAATTGGCCTAATAGAACTTCACTGAGGTTCTAACGTGAGAAGGCAGGTGTTATACATTGGAGAAGGGGCCACCTGTGGGGCATTGGGAAGCAGTGGAGACCAGAAAAACCGAGGTCTCCAGTCTCATCTAGCTCTCGGCAGAGCCCATGGTAGCCAGGTGGACGTCAGGGCCAGTGCTGCCAGACTTCCCATTTTATCAATAAAAGCCAGAAATCCACATTTTTATGTGAAATCTCATGACTTTGGCAGCTAATTAAAATGTTCTTTGAACATTGTATGGGCCAAACAAAACAGGTCCACGGGCTACATCCAGCCCGTAGGCCACCAATTTGTGACCTCCGGCTTAGCTGGTTTCCATATGTTCTAGCCCCATTCTCTTGCCTGCCGTGCAACACATGCATCTGTATTTCTGGTCAACCTGGTCTGTCTGCAGCCTTGAATGTCGGTATGTCACCTCCATCCCTGGGTGGCAGAGCGACTAGCCCAATAGATTGGAATCTGAGGGCGTCAGGTGTGGGTGTGTTTTGGGGGGAGGGAGGTGATCAGAGAGGGTGAACCCCAACATGCCCATGGAGTCTTTGACGCTAATGATGCTTTGAAAGCTACTTTCAGGCTGGAATGTGTGTGCTTCGTGGTGATGGGGAGATGCTGCTAAGCTGGCGTTTGTGTTCTAGACGCTCTTAGTGGAGAAGTGACGTGCCAAGCAGCCGGGGTGGGGAAGAGGGAACGTGAGGCTCTGGCTGCTGCCGAGACGCAGAGGTGGGACTCCAGCTCGCTTTCTCGCAGTCGGTGCGACCTCAGGCCAAAGAAAGGCTTTCTCTCTGCGCCTCAGTTTCTTTCCCTGTAAAATGGGATGTGCTAGGATTCAATGAGGCCTCCACCCAACTCCTTGTGCACATTATTAGCACATGCTGTGCAGTTCATTCATTTACTCAGGAAGCATATATCAATCGCCTACTTCAGACCAAGATTAAATGCCGAGGGGGAGGAGGAAAAGGAGCGA